ACATATTTCATTATTCTGCCTCTACGTTAGGGGTGGGGTTAGAATCTATTTATAGATGCATTGCATCATGGACGATTCTGAATTGATTTTTAAAATGTCAAAATAATGTTAATCTGTGCCGCTGCTGCAGACTAGCTGATGCAGTGCTTTGCAGTGTTTCCCCTACCATTATCCAAGGAGGGCACCCTGCCCTGTCAACAGAATCAAGTGCCCAGTAGAGGCGCACTACAGACACTGGCGTGTATTACAGGCAAATTAACATTGGAGAAGAAGTAATTTCTTCTTCTACGCTTTGAATTTTACTTTGTCCTATGAACTCATCAGTAAAACATGTTTATCAAAGAAAAGAAAAGTGTACAGTGAGTGCTGAGTGATTAAAATGGGGTGGACAACAACATATTGTTTCACTGAGGTCCAATCAAAGAAAGTTTTTATGCCAAGAAACTGTTGTGGTTTTCAAAGAGTACACTTTGCTAACAGCTAACTATGCTAGCAAGCCTTTCTCTGATGGTGATTTTTTAAAGAAACATGGTAAAAACAGAGCAGGTCTGTTGTGTCCGGAGGGCCAAGATAAGTTAGAAAATATCAGTTTGTCACGCAGGACTGGGACTCACCTTGTGGAACTGACTGATGAAGATTTAGTAAAATAAGCTCAAAGGCAGAGAGAGGCCTTTAAGTTACGGTTTACTGGATGAAAGTAATAAAGGACACTGCTCAGCTCCTATTTTTAATCTGTGGGATTAACAACAGTTTTGAGATAATGGAGGTGTTTTTGAACCTGGAGTCTCTGAAAGGAAAAAAACGGAGAGAGTATTTTTTATAACCGTCTGCTGTCATGAGAGAATGAAGCTTCTGTGGAGTAAAGTTGGCACAACGGACACGTCACCAGAGTTAAGTGTAAAACATGTCGGGCTGCTGACAAGAATCCAGGATAAAGTGAAAGAAGAAAACCCAACCAACCAGGATGTTATTTTTCATCCATCAGGAATCACTGTCATGTTGTGTGTGTGAAACTGTTAATTGTGTGTGAATTATCAAAAAAAATGTGAAAGACAAAAACGTGTGAATTATTGTCAGGTTCTCTGTTGTGATGCTGCACAGAGGAGCTGCAGGAGGAGGACGTCTGCTTCCATCCCCAACCTGCCACAGCTGACCCGTCATCAACTTTAGATCCTGTAGTTGTACAAAGTTTAGTGAGGAGTTTGTGGAGGTGAGCTGACACTTTATTTAGACGTTTCTCCTGTGTTCCATGAGCACAGTGAGGTAAGAGTCTTCTGGTTTGGTTCATGTGATTTTTCTTCAGCTAAGAGAAAATACAGTGGTTTGTTTTGTTTGGGCCTGAAGTTGGTAAGACTCCACAAAGTTAATCATTTCACTTTTGTAAATAAAATCACTGTTCTATCATATAATCTGACTTGGTGGCTGCTTGAGTGGTGCAGAAGGTGGAATTGCCCATAATTAATAGCATCCCGGCGGCTGTTATTGCACTGGGGTGTAACATCACACAAACACTCCATCCATCCGTTTCTGGCCCGGCCCTTCGCTCCAATTTTGGAACTCAATGTGGCCCGCGAGTCCAAAAGTTTGCCCACCCCTGTAATAGCCGATAGCACGACTTGTTTGGTGAGTTTTACCACAGACATTTAGACGTTGTGTTAGCCCCATTAGCATGATTAGTCTTACGGCACAATGGATAGAAAAAACTTTGAACTTAAAACAGCTGTCCTTCATGCACAGGAGTGCAGAGGATCCACACTGCAGCTATAGGAACCCAGAACAAGCCTCCACAGGTGAGACAGCATCGCAGGTGACTAATGCTAATAAATAACATGCAACACTTTTCATTTAATATAAGTTAAAGTGCTGTGCATATCATATGGCTGTTACTGAATATATGTCACCAGCTCTTACAGCTGTTGTACAATTTTTGTAGCAAATAAGCCTAAATAAGATGCTATGCTCTGACAAAGGAACATGCAATAAAATATCGATCTCGGCATCAGTTGTCGGCCGAATAAGTTAACATATAGGCATATCGGATATCAGCCAAAAATCCAATATCGTGCATCCCTAATGTTCAAATTTGTTCACTGATTTATGTGACATTTTGCTCAAAAGCAGGCGTTCATATGCACCAATACGGGCAAAAACATTGTTGCCCTTTTACATTTGGCAGTGGGCAATAAACAAACAAGATGTCACCCTGAGTTCTGTTTCTGTGTTGAGAAAGATTTCTACAGCTACACAAGTTAAAGAGGCTGGAAAATGACTCGCTTAGCCTCATCCTACAGATAAAGAGTTCATTGAAAGTTCATAGGAAGATTGTAAAATGACTGCTTTAGTTTCATCAGAACACCTGCACGACTACAAGCCCACACACACGCGCACGTCAAAACACAACACTTTCCTACAGCAACAGTAGTACGGCTTTTATTTGATGGCAGATAAGATTTGGTGTCATGAAAGCCAGCAGGTGGACAAGTCCAGAGTCCAGTCTTGTGACTGAGCAGCAGCCTTGACGTGATTTGCATTCAACTATTTGAATGTCCTCTGGATCTGTCGCAGGCTACTTACGACACGTCAGTCCACCGGAGCGCTGCTGGCGACAGCAGACGGCTCGGTTAAATTAAGCCAACGCAGACGATCCTCAAAACTAAAGCACACACACCTAACACTAAAAACACCACACACACATTTGGTTTTTCTACAGAAACGCAGTAAACACTGACTGAATGCTCATGACATTTGTTCAAAAAGTTAACATTGAGTTGTCAAATTTTAAAAAGGCTAAACAGAATTCAAGTGAGCAAAACTGTAGCTAGAAGGTAAATAGAGAGTTAAGACAAAAACGGGCCATTTTCTAAAGAAACTAAAACAGAAAAACAATAATGTAAATGCTGACTCAGTATTTGAAGTGCAACTTTAAATGTGAGTGGTATGTGTGAAGGTTTTAGTAATGTGTGGCAGCAGAGCACACGCTGAATTACCTTGAACAGCTCGTGGGAGTTCAGGTCAAATAATGGAGCTGCTTCAATGTTCAAGCAAAGAACGGCAGACCTCCAGACACACACAGCACGAGGGCTTCAACAAGTGCGTCTTTTCTTCTCGTTATCTCAGACAGTTATTTTAGTTAGAGCAGCACATCAACAGTGTTCAATCCAGACAGGTCAGCAGACTTTAAAACCTTCACTGAACGTGTACTCTGCCCTCGTTCTTGGAACTCCAGGAAAACTTCAGCCCCCAACCTTTTGCCTCCACACAGACTCAAAGTCCAGCGACCAGCATGTTAGAATAAAATGCAACACGTACACAGAAGCTGTTCCAAAAGCCTCCAAATAAACTTGAAATCATTTTTGATCCAAATGGCCTCAAGCTGTAGCAATGGCAGGAGCAAACACACTGTGAGCTGTGTTGCACATCTGTCACCTGCCCAGAAAGCAAAGGTAGAGAGACAATGTTTTTGTCTGGCTCCGTGTGCTTGTCTGTGCAATTAGCAAAATATCTCATGAACCACTGGACACATTTGAATGAAACTTGCAGAAAATAATCACTGAACGTACAAGTGATTAACGTTTGGAGTCAACCCAGTTCAAGATGGCTGCCAAAACCAAGTGACCTTGAAAAACACAAAAGTGGCTGTAACTCTGCTGATTTTACAGAGAATGAGCTGAAGGTTGATGTGGTAGCAGCTAAACACAGCTGCACATCTAACATAACCTGAGCTCTACACAATGGACGACATGTCTGCTTCATCATCGGTCTGCTGGGAAAACGTGGAGAAGAGACATGAGACAAGCATCTGCAGCTGAAGCAAGCCGTTTCACACATTCAGCTCGCCCAGCACACATCATGGAACTTACAGCATTAAATGTTTTACGGTGCGACTACAACAACTAGACCTGTGACGGCCTAAGACGTGATGAGTGCCGCGTCGTCCTGGAAGCAACGCTGAGCCTGTAATGTCTTTTAGTTTCAAACGTGAGAATATTTTCAGGAAGAGTTTAGACAGCACGGCTCTGTTGATGCAACATTCTTCAGACCTTCAGCACGTGTTCAGTGTGCACAGCTTCTGCCTCACATGTACACACGCTAAGCTTTCATCTATATGGCTCACATAAACACAACTAAATGCATACAGTAAAAGCCCAACACCCCCTGAAGGAATGCATATTGCCTGCCACATTTCATCCTACACTTTTGGACAGATCCTGTTTGCTGAGAAATGACAGGACTTGATGTATGATGCAAATGTCACGCTCACAGCATGTGTTGGGAAGAACTCTCAGCTACTACCACAGCACAGCTGAGCTCAATGTGTCAAAAATGTTCTGAGTTGCAGCTAGTTTTGGTGTTTTAAAGGTTAGCTTGCTGTGGCGGCCATCTTAACTGGGTTACCTCTGAATGTTAAATCAGCAGCAGATGTACACCCAATGATTCCTTGTGGAGAGTTTAATTAAAATGTGTCCATTGTTTTCTGAGGTATGTTGCCACAACAGACAAGTACACACCTCCCAGTATGTCCTCCCAGTACGTCCTCGTCCTGGACGGAACTGCCTCCTCAAAAAGCCTCAAGGCTAACTTAAACATTTGAAAGGGACAGGACTGGACAAAATGTAATTTATTTACAGACAAATGCAACAAACTGCAAGACGATGCGCGCTCAGCTGGTGGTGTTGCGCAGTATCTGGTCTCATGTTATATGACGCTTCCGGTGACATGACGAGCCTAGCATCTTCGAATGGGCGACATTAGCATACGTAGCCCCGCTGCTAGTTACCCAACACGGCCGGTAGGCTACAGCACAAGGGGCGTTTAATGTCGTCAACACGACAACCGACGTTATTTGACCGACTACAGGTGCCCAGAGAAGACAGGCAGCGGTGCCCGCCACAAGCCGCTCATCTGCCGTTTCTGCCTTCATCCATCTGAGCTCGTGGCCGCTCCAGCGACACAACACGTCACGCGCGGAACGCTCGACAAATGTCCGCGGCTCTGATTACCTGACGCGGCAGCTGCTGGGCTCGTCCTACCTGCGTCGTCCACCCACAGCCGGAGGGGCGCAGCGGCACTGCTCGGTCGACAGGAGGCAAATCCAGTGAAACGGGCCGGGAGGCAGAAATGTGGAGGCTCGAGAGGAAAAAGTCCCAAATGTTGAGTGTTTGGAAGCAAACGAGCTGAGGCGCTCTGTGTTGTTTCTGCTATGGAGGAGCGAGCACAGACTGCCTCCTCCTCCTGCTCCGCCTGCTCCTCCTCCTGACACCACCCTTAAAGGAACAAGCTGCTCACGCACTCCCACCGCCACGAGCACGCAGGATGCAAGCCCTTCAGACGTCACACTGTGTGCTGCACTGTGACAGCCATGAAGTCTGAGCATCATTGATCCAGGGTGAGCTTATTTATGAGGCGGCCTTATTAAACAGTAAACATGTAAACAATAAACATGGCGCACCTCTGTCACGTGCACACACATTCACCCAAGCGTGGAGTGCTAGTAGTGGAGACTGATCCCCAACGCACATTCTGAGGACTAACAGGGTGCACAGCTGCGACAGGCCCTTTTTCTTTCTTCCTTCCTTTTCATCATCGTGTATTTGAAGTCAACCCTGTCTGTCTGTTAGCAAAATATCTCATGAAACAGTGGACTGATGTGAATGAAGCTTTCAGGAAATGATTACTGGATTAACATCTGCAAGTGATTTACTTTTGAAGTCAGTCCAATTGAAGACAGCCGGCAAAGCCTGCTCATTTTACATAACACAAAAATGGTTATAATTCAGTTACTTTTACAGGGAATGTAGTAATATTTGGTGTGGTTGTAGCTGAACCTTTACCAAACACACCCATATACCACCCACACACTTTTTGCCCCACTCCCCTCAGGAAGGAGGTTAAGGAGCATTAAGTGTAGAACCACTAGACTGAGGAACAGCTTCTACCCTGAGGCTGTTAGACTCATGAATCTCTAACTAGAATAATCACTGTGAAAAACCATATCATGTTGCTACTGATCTGTTTCATGTTGCTGCTGATCTGTTTCATGTTGCTGCTGATCTGTTTCAATGTTGATGTGTTCATGCGTGCACATCTGCTCACAGACTCATGTTCATGTTTGTGCTGATGTTCAATGTTTTATGTTATGAGTGCTTAGTGTATATTTAGTTGATGTTTTTCTTAGTTCATATCTTAGATGTTATTACTGTTTTTCTTATACATTTTATTGTTGGATGTAACTGGGACCCTGTGTACATAATTTCGCTCCACCACATGTACCACATGAGGTGCGAATGACAATAAAGAAACTCTGACTCTGACTCTGACTCTGACATATGCTTCTATGTATATATACATATATATACATACTTACATACATATATTCAATTCAATTCAGTTTATTTCTATAGCGCCAAATCACAACAAAGTTGTCTCAGGGACTTTACAGGAACATTCACATAAAGCCAGTTAGTAAAGTTCTCTATCTAAGGAATCCAGCAGACAAGTTGAATCTTGGCTTCGTTGCAGTCTCCCATCCTGAGCAAGCACAGTGGAGACAGTGGGAAGAAAAACTCCCTTTAACAGGAAGAAACCTCCAGCAGAACCAGGATCAGGACCAGAGACCATCTGCTTTGACCGGCTGGTTGAGAGGACAGGAAGGAGAGACAGACGAACACAGAATGGTAGGTCCATTGTTGTGCCTTGCTCTCTAAAATAATTATTGAATCAAGTATTTACTTATGTAGGTAAATGTAGACGTTGAACAACCCATTAAAATACCCCAAAATGCAGAAAATGCCATCTATTTAAAATTTTCAACGGGAGGATCCCCAGACACCCCCCACCATTGTGGCCCCCCCCACACACACACACACACACACACATTACAAATGTTTCTGACACCAATGAGTAAGACGATGTGATACAACTGATCTGCAAACAGAAGCACACGCGCTGAAGAATTCAACTAAAATGTTGGGCTTTGTTGACCAAAGCATGTTACTGATTTCACATTTAGACCTGAGAATACTGTCTTTTTTTAAAGTGTCCGTAAAAGTTGTAAACTTTAGTTAGGAGTGCTTCAGTGTGTGAAGATATTTATTTATTTATTTTACATAGGACCAGTCTAGATTAAAAATATCTTCACAAGTGTATATATAAGTATTGAAGCACCCTAAATGTGTCAATTCAAATACTCTATCAAAACACGTAGCTCAGTCTGAAACAGTGTGCTATAAAGGTTGAATGAATGACTTTTAATATTAAAAACTTTTAAACTTTTTAAAGTATGAAACTGGATTTACAAGAGGTCCTCCATAAAACAACATTGAGATCTTGTCTTTTCTGTTTAAAAGTTATTCTCAAAACTTTTAACATGCTTGATCTAATTTTTGTTTTCTTGTGCTACTTTTAACTGCTTTCTTGCAAATTGTAGTTGTTAGCCACTGTTTTGTAAATTGTAACTTTAAATATCCTGATGCATGCTCAATAATCCAGGTAGAAAAATCCAAAAAAGTTCAATCTGGTCCTCTGGACATTCAAAAAAACAAAAAACAAAACAAAGCAAAAAAAAATCTAGAAACGTTTCGTCTCTCATCCAAGAGACTTCCTCAGTCTGAGGTGCTGTATTCAGCTCAGTCTCTTAAATAGCACCTTCACAGAGTGGATCAACCAGTTTGCTGCTGACAACCAAAACCAGCTGATCACATGCTCAAGAAGGACCATCAGCCTAACAATGGATAATTAGCACACTGATGGCTGTTTACTGTTCACAGAGGGCTGAGTGATACTAGCAATCACAGCATTGTAAGAGACGACACCTGGGTTAAAATTAAATCTCAGGAAGTCCAACATTTTACTGACCACATCAACTCTGTGGATAAATACATCAAGTTTACACGAGAAGATGTAAAAAATGGCAAGTTGGCTTTCTTGGACTGTGAGGTCTCAGTCTCTGATAGAGGACATTTGCAAACCGAGGTGTACCGCAAACCCACCCACACAGACCAGTATTTGCAGTT